CTCTTGGGTATGTAAAAAATAAAAGAAATGATGTACTACTTCTTTCTCTCTCCTTTAAACCAACCCACAAAATTCTGATATTTTTTGCCACATAAGCCAAATATGCCAAGTTGGCAAGCATTTGTCGTAGGGTAAAAAGGGAAGAATGTTAGTCAAACTGTTATTCACTTGATTGACCAATTAGCATACCTATATTTTTAATTGAAAAATTTAAAGGTCAATTTGTAATTATTTTTATTAAAAAATAATTAAAAAATCCAAAAAGATTTAAAACTTACAAAATATAATAAATCAAAATAAAATCCATAAATTCCCAAAATTTAAGAAAAAAATAATAATAAAATTGTAGATAAAAATTGAAATTATAGTTTTTCTTTTTGTCAAAAAATTATAGTTGAAAACTTAAATTTGTAAAAATCAAAAGTTTCTAAAATTAAAAAAAAAATTCAATAAAAACAAAATAATTAAAAAAAAACTTAAATTTACAAAAACACATAATTTGAAGTTTAATATAAATATTTAATTATATTTTAAATTTAAATTTTGGAAACCATCCGAGATTAATATAAATAATTCCAAAAAGCTTAAATTTACAATTCATCCTAGATTACACTTGCAATTTTAAATTTCAAAATTAAATTAAATTTAAAATTTATTAGTTAATGTTGGGACATTACCAAAAGCAGCATTAAAATTATTACCCATATAAAAAATGTAATATATGTTGTTTATATGTTTCATTCTAAATTTTGTTAATTTTTTCCTAACAAATATATTTGTAACGCCCGTGAACCAAAATTTAGAATTTCGGGAGGTGCGTCGATCGACGCAAGGTTAATTGAACCGTCAGATTTTGGTTTTAATTTCTCGGTTTGTGGCTCGGTTTGGGGGGAACCCTAGGGTTCGCATATATAAGCCAGGAGGCCGTATTTTTGTCGGGTTTTTGACAGAAAAACAAAAGGTTTGGGAGAGAATTGGGAGAGAAGAAGGATCCTTGCTGTTTCTTTTGCGTTCTTGATCATTGAGGCTT